ATTTTTGAGGTATGTGTTAATTAAACCTGAAGGCTATTCATTGCATGTAGGGTACCCCAACCCAAAGCATATTTATGCTTCCTCATCCTGGCTCAGGGTGAGGAAGTATTATCTAGTATTATCATTACAAATTATAATAGGTTTTCCAGATTTTCTATAAAATACTGAAGTCTGTAGTGATTTTCAGTCATCTAGATCATGGCTGTCCCAAAGGTGATTTACCTGGAGGCAACTGGACTTTCTTGTTTGTTCTTTGAAGACATTTTGCTTCTCATCCAAGAAGCTTCTTCAGCTCTGACAGGATAGTGGGGAATGGAAGGATTTATATTCCTTGCAGACAGCTGGTCATTTGGATCCTGTCAAACTCGCAGCCCATGGGCCAGATATGTCATGCTCTGACCTTGCCCATACCTGGTTTAGTGAAGAAGGAAAAAGACACAATATGTCCATATTCAGTCCAGAATTTAAAATTTCCCAGCTGCACCATCATTTCCCCCCCTTATTTCTTGCCTGTGATGCTTGCTTCTCTTTGCCTGTTAACAGAGGCAGCTCCGAATCGCACTAAAAGACATACCCAAAACATTTCTATTTGCATTTAACATGTTTAGAGTATATGATTTATGGTCAGTCATTGTATATATTTACATACATTTTGTTTTATTGTATGTTGATAGAGTATGGCAGTTATCTTTCATAAAATATGTAATGTGCTATCATACACTGTCTGGGACAGCATGAGGTAAGTGTGAGCTATGGATCAGCTGCTCCTTTGCTTGGCTTCAGGCTGGGCCTAAAGTATTGTTTTCCTCAGTGTTATGCAGAGTTAGATGCAAAAGGAAAGCTAGGCTCTTTTATTTTGAATAGGGCCTGAGTTCTGAGTGTTTAAAGTGATCATGACTTGCCCGTCTTTGTAATTAAAAAATACTAATTAAAAGAATACATATCTTCTTCATATTAATTTTGTAGGTCTCAAAAGGAGATTCATCCTTCAATGAATCTTGGTGTAAGTATGGCTGGCCTTTACTTTACTTCCCTCTCTACAGTATTGTAATTATGAAAACTGATGAGTTAGTGTTTTGATAAAAAATGTGTGAGATCCGAACTAAACACTGCCATCTCCTGTTCTTAGCAAATTCTAAAATGGAGGGGAAACAACAAGAAGGATTCCAGCCCTCTGCTTTTAAAAGGCTATAAGAGCTGTTTTAATATGAGATCAATTTTAGTTGCTGTAAAAGTTTCCTGTTTCCTATTTCTGCATTTGAAGCTTCCTTCTCAACAGCTTTGCCTAATTAAAGCAAAGAGTTTGCTGTGACAGACAGATGTAAAAAAGGGCAAGTGTTTTCCTGTCCTTAAATTGACCAATGAAGGAGAGAGGGTGGGACTTTCTGAATTTCCCTTGCTCATCATGTTGTTTGCTATCTGGTGGCCTCAGGAACCCTGGGAATGAGTAAATAAGATTATTGTTGGATAATAGAAACAGAAACTACATTAAAAACATTATCAAAGCTGTTTTAAAACATTTGGAAAAAGAAATTGCTAGGCACAAAAAGCAGAGCTTTCATAAGTAACTACAGTAGTAATTTCATAAGTAGTTACTGTAGTGATAATGTACTGTAATGAAAAAGGCTTTAGTCTCATAATTTGATTTAGTTTTTTAATTTTATATTGCTCTTTTCCTTTGAATGTTCGTGCGGGGTCCAGAAGGAGAGCCTTTTCTGTCTCTGCTCCTGCCCTCTGGAACATCATCCCTTCCTCCCACCAAGTTGAGAATAAACAAAGAGCTGTTTGTCACTAGCTGAGAGTCCTGCCTCTTCCCTCGACCCACACTTAACATTGGTGATGAAGGTGGGATGTGAAGAGAACAAAGGACAAAGGAGCTGAATTGAACTGGGCATCCTCATGGCATCAACAGCCATCATCGCAGTAAGTCAAGAGTTTGCATTGGCCATTCCAAGATGACCACACCCATCCCACCAGCTCCATACAACCCAGCTAAAGAAGATTGGAAATCGTATATGGATCGATTTCAGATGTTCATGGAAGCAAATGATCTTCTGGGATTATTGGACAATAGGAAAAGAGCACTTTTCCTAAGCTACTATGGACCAGAAATTTTCAAAATGGTTAAAGCCCTCTCGCCACCAACAGACTTACAGACAGTAACTTGGACAACGCTTCAGAACACGCTTTGAGCACACTATGTGCCCACAGCATCAACATTAGTTAAGCTACATGAGTTTTACCGCAATGATCAAAAGGAAGGTGAGACAGTCAATGGCTTTGTTGCAACACTAAGAGAAGTCGCAGCCGACTGCGAATTCGGTAATCTACAAGAGGCAATGCGAAATGGGCTCGTTTTGGGTTTGAAAGACCTAAACTTACAGAGGCAATTATTAGTTAAGACTGACCTCATGTTCTAAGCCTCACTAGACGAAGCCAGGGAAACTGATGAAGAACTTGTAGTCTCAAATAGATTTTGAGATACCACATAAGTGCTTTGTTTAAAATTATTTTTTTTATGGAATTACAAATTATTTTCACTAGAAGAAAGCAAGGACAAATCACTTTCAAATTGTTCTTAAATTAAACTACAATATATAACCCAATCCGAGTAGCTTTAGGAGGTGAGCTTAAGAAAGACTTTACCTTTTAAATATGTACAAAAACCATGTGAAATCTGTGCAGTGACATCTATATCCATTGCATATTGCTCAATGTAAAATAGCAGGGTGGGAACAAAGTTCCAAATTACATGTTGATAAGAAATTGCAAAATAGATAAAAAAGTAGATTTTAAGGTGATTTTGAACATAGATATCCAAAAATATTTTATATACTTGATGAGGATGATGTCTAGAAGAATGTGAAAATGTTTAACCCTTCTCCAGTATAGAGCAAAAGGAAAAACTAAAACATAAAAGGTGGCAGAGCTCCTTCCTGTTTAATACTATGATCTATCCCTGCTGAAATTCTGTTTTCTTTTGCTTCCGGCACCATGGAAAAATCATGGAAGTAGGAAAAATATGCAGTCTGTTTATTCAGATAATCACATTCACAACTTATTAAATAGCTAGTATTTCTGGTATAATGAATATTGGAATGTGAAGTGCAATTTAGCTTAAAATTCCAACTCAGTTCTAAAGTTGATGGGCTGACCTTGGGCCAGTTATTATCCCACTTGCCGATCCCACTTCATAAGATTATTTTGAAGGATAATCCATGAGTATCATTTAAATAAAAGTTTGGAACAAATGTGGCAATAAATATTGAAAGATAGCACAAATAGCATAAAAAACAACAAATGAAAGAATTTACCATTATTAACTCTGGTGCATGAATGCTTCATCTTAGCAATATAAACATGATCCAGCTGAGTTATCATAATTTTCTACTTAATAAGTAAATTAATACCTAGGCCTCCATTAAAATAAATATCTCCACATACATCTATATTTTCAGAGAAAAAATATCTGTTTTTTAGGACTTGCATTTTAGCAACCTGATAATATAATCTTACATACATCTACTCAGAAAAATCTTAGATAAATGTGTATAGAATTATAGTTTTAAACTGCTTAAATTTGGATGGATTATTGCTTGTATAAACACATACATAGACATATCCATATCTATCTCACTATGAGTGTTCATTGTTGGGATGATATGCACTCGCATACACATACACATACACAGACAACACAGAGACACAGACACAGACACACACACGGGAGTGCTGGGTCTCAGTTTAAAATATTAAACATCCATTATTCTTCTATCTCTTTAATTTCAGACATAAATTTTGTTTAGGATTACTGCTAATTGTTTTGCATGAAAAATGCTGCAATTCACCAAATTCAAGACATCTATTTCTCTGCAATATACAACTATTAGAAGAAACTGAAATAGCCTGTGGTTGTAACATACCTTGATGCTTTTAACTTTTCTCTTCTGCTGTTTCTCAGATGTACCAGTCCTGGACTTCAGATGGAGAGAAAGCAAAAAAGCATGCATGTTGATGTAGAAAAATACATGACTCTGTCAAGACTGATGGCAACCATTAAAGGGCAGAAAAATGAAACTTATTTGCTCCTGAAAAGTGCAATACTGATGCCTTTTCTGGCAAATATTTCCTGCCAAATATCCCTGGCACTGAATCCTGGCTGCTCTCTTTTCTTGAAAGAACAACTGCTCAGGGTGAAAATGTCAAATCTTTCCCAGATGCTTTGCAGTGGTATTAAGCCTAGTCATGTTCAACTCTTTTGTCCTGTGAGTTTTGTTCTTTTGCTTTCATTTGGCTTCAATTGTGCAGTATTCTCAGATTAAGATTTGCCAGCTGGTTTCTGCTAAAAGAATGCAGGCTGAGATGAGAGAGCAGGGAAAGATGCTGGAATCCAACAGCCTAGAAAATCATGGGGGATGGGGTTACTGTTGATCCTTTAAGAGCCTCAGCTCTCTTCTGCAGTATGTTGCTGTGTTAAAGGCAGCAGGCTCTTTAAATGTAAAATACTAACTGATGAATTGCAAGCTGAGATTTGGTTAACCGATGGACTGCTTGCTGCAAAGATTTCACCCTATCTTTACATACACACACACACATATACACACTTTTCATCACTAGATTTTGTGTGTGTGTGTGTGTGTGAGAGAGAGAGAGAGAGAGAGAGAGAGGGAGGGAGGGCTTTGTTTCTATTGGCTGATTCTTGCCTTCCCACCCACATCTATTCCACATCACCTTGGTGTCTCCCTAAATAAAACCAGCCCTCCTTATCGCAGCAAGGAAATCAAGCAATAGAGTTGCAATGGATTTTAAATAAACACTCCCCCCCCCATCATTGCCAGGCTGCTGAGAAGCACGCAGGAGGCACCTCACCAACTGCTACTGAAACGCACATACATAGCTACCTTGCATGCTTTCTGACTCTACTGCTTCTTTCACCCCATGAGTGAGGGCTGGAGTATACAAGAAGCTGGCTGCAGGCAGAGGATAGAATTGGTACCTTTATGACCAATTCTTTCTCCATGGATTTGAAGGACAGCACCAGTGAGGGAAGCTTAGGGAGCCTTCAGCCTTCCAGCCTCCAGATTTTTGCTAACACCTCAACCCTACATGGAATCCGCCATATCTTTGTTTATGGACCTATGACTGTGCGGCGGGCACTATGGGCTCTAGCGTTTATAGCTTCCCTGGGCCTCCTCTTGGTAGAGAGCTCTGAGCGAGTGATTTACTACTTTTCTTATCAGCATATCACCAAGGTGGATGGGCTCGTTGCTAACAGCTTGGTCTTCCCAGCTGTCACCATCTGCAACTTTAATGGTTTCCGCTTCTCCCGTCTCACCACCAATGATCTGTACCATGCTGGTGACCTTCTAGCTTTGCTGGATGTGAATTTACAAATCCTTCATCCCCATCTTGCTGACCCAACAGTCCTGGCTATATTGCAAGAGAAAACCAACTTTCAGCACCACCGAGCCAAGGTCTTCAGCATGAGTGAGTTCCTAGGGCGTGTGGGCCATGACATGAAAGAGATGCTGTTGTACTGTAAGTTCCGGGGACAGGAGTGCAGCCACAGGAATTTTACAACTGTGAGTATAAGGAACAGACTGACTTTCTTATTACCTTAATAGTGTTACGGTAACAATGGGGTATACCTAGAATTGATAATTATATTTATCTTGGCTTCTCTTGGTGAGATAGCAGATTTGAACTGAAGTATGCTTAATATCCTTGTGGGAAATTTGGGAGATTTAAAATGGGAAGTCAACCTAGATTAAGGAATTGAGGACTGTTTCCTGGGAGATTTCAACTAGCTTTAGATATTGGTCTGTTCAGACCCTTGATGTAAGGAATGATGATATTGCATTGAGATTTCCTCAAGGAAACTAGCTTATTTTGCTGTTGAATGATGATCGGCAACAAAGCAATACTGAAATAGTACAGTACTTTCTGGCTGATATGGTTCATATATAGCCCATCGATTGATAAGGACTTACAACTTAAATAATGTCAAGCCTAATGTATTTTATGTCGTTGCAGGGGTTTCTTTTCCAATGAGGGAGGGCAGCCTGTCAAGCCCAAAATTGACATAAGTGTAGCCATTTTAGTTTGTCTTAGTATATATTCTTTTTTCTTATTGTCTCTGTGGCAGTAATGGGGGAAAGGGTTTTGGGCTTGACACATTCCTAAGCGGGGAGGAGTGGAGATAAAGAGAGTGTTATGGCTAGGTGATCTTTTTTCCTGTGGGAAAGTGCTTGGGCACCTGGAGGTGGAGATTTATGACATCAAGCAACGTTGAATTACTTCTATTGGAGAATGTGACTTTGTGGGGTTGTTTCTAACTTCTAATATTGTGGGGTAATTCCAGGTTGGGTCAGATCCGGAATTACCATGGACTTTGCCAATTTGGTGCTTTCCTAAATAAAAGAAATCTTTTTGAAGATGGACTTTGTTATTTCCTTTTAAAATGGATTCATCACTTGGAAACCTGACAGATAATTTTATTCCTTTCACTCTTGGTAACAATTATTCCTATTTCCTATTAATTTTTTTCCAGATCCTTACACAATATTCTGAAACTGGATAGCTTGAGGACAATGTTTCTCTGTAGTGATTTAGTGTTGGTGACCTAGACTAAATTTGTGGCCTAGAAGAAGTGTAGAGTTTTATGAGTATTAGGGAGTGAAATATGGAGCCTATGCCATGCTAAATATAGTGATCTTTTCTATTTCATTTCTTCTAAATGTTGTGTAATGGACAACAACATGAAGATGCAGACTGTAAGATAAGTATTGTTTCAGTTCTCATAGGCCATATGCATTCATCATTTCATAATTGCAGCATCAATTGTTGATTTTTAAGTGTGTGAATGAAGTATGAGAATAAATATAAAATATTAATACTTTGACAAACTACACATAGTAAATACAATATTTTTCAGTTAACTGGCTTCGTACATCATCCCAAGCTAATTAATGGTGCAACTAAATAATGCATAAACATAGAAATTAAATAGATCTAGGCTTGGAACTAAAAAGGAAGTGACATGTTTCATAGTTATGGCCAGTTGCCACATTAAAGATGAGGATCAGAATCGAAAAACCAAGATGACTATTTTTTAAAAACATAGGAAAAAAATGAGTAGGATAGTCTTTACCAACTTTATGTCATCCAAATGTCCAAACTGGTTTAAAATTTTGTATTTGAAGTCACAACACATATGGAGGGCACTAGATTAAAGAAATGTTTTCTATACTAATTATTTTGTCCTATTGGCTTTCTTGTGTGCCTTTTGCAGCAGTCTGAAATGGAGAAGTTAAATAAGTGAAGGTGATGGGCAGTGAATATTGGAATAAAGTTTAATTTCTTCTTTGCTCAGACTTGTGTAAAAGTCACCAAGAGATGAGTTTGAAAAAAATGTAGTATTTTTTTGAAATTTACCAATCCCTTGTTTTCAGATTAAGGCATTGACAGAAAGGAAGCGTTTTTTCCCAAAGAAAGCTTTGTCTTAATTATATCATACATTAAGGAGACATTAACAGTTTGGCCTTAATTAATAACAGTACAGAATTTAGAATATCTATAAGGTAAAGGCATTTCATATATCCTGTTATAATATATCATGTAAAATAAGGAGTCCCTTATTAGAAGGTTGAGACAGAAAACAATTTGCTTCAATAGGATAAAACTAGTAGGATCAACTCTTTAAAAAGCTTTGTTCGCTCATATAGATTTCCTCCATTGGTCCACTCTTGCCCTTCTTGGTATAGTATGAAGCACATTGCTTCTGTCTGCTGTGAAGCAATCCAGCTATATGTTTAAGCTGCATAGTTGAGATAGATTCAGATTGTAGACTTTTTAATGTAATTTAGATTTTCCACCATAGTACCTGGCTCCGGAATAAATTATGTGATTAAAAAAAAATAAACATAGGGATTACTGACAATGGGCGCGTTGTTATGGAAAGAGGATATTATACTTTTCTGATGTTTGGAAACTCACTGTTGTGATGTAGACAGGATTGTAGCTATATGTTAAGAGCAAGCTGTCAGGATGAAAACTTTGGATCACAGTCATACTCATTGACAAGCCACTGTTTAATGGACCTTTACTGAAGAATAATATTGCAAATTGATATAAAATAATAAATTCTAAATTGTAGTCTAGAAATGGAAAGTTTATTGTTATGGGTATATATTTATCAGAAGTGAATTTTCCAATATTCCTAACTATCTGTACCTTAAAAAAACACAAAACAAAACTAATGTGGAGGAATTGGGCGTATTTGCTTGGAAATTGCAGTGAGAAAAAATTGCGGAGAAATGCATGTTTTGATGTTTTCCCAGGAAAAACATGGTAGCAAATATATAGGGCCTAGTTGGATAAAAAGTGTTGAGTTGCTTTCAGTGAGTAAAACTTACCACTAGGAAAAGAAACTTTAGTGAAAGATCTGTTGTTCAGTAGTTCATTTCAAATTGTCATCAAATACATAAGAGGTTGAAAATGTAAGATTCAAGATGCAAGTATCAGCCAAAATAATAGACATTACCAGGTCGGTTAGATAAAATGATAACCCACTATAAATTAAATGTTTATTTATAGGGTTGTACCAGATAACTTTATTCTGCTTTAGGACATCACATGAATCCTGGCCATCATAACAATCTCACTATAATGGAACTGGCATACCCCACCTGTGCAGGCAGAGGAGGCATGCTGTGGATCCCATCAATCAAGGTCCAGCTTCTCTGCTGTGACTCCTATTTTTGGAATATCTTGTCCCTGTCCCAGAGTGAGATCTGGTCCCATCCCCCTGGCCTTCTGGAAGAGCCTGGAGACCTGACTCTGCCAGTTGACTCGGGGCTCCAACAGGGGATTATCACTCTGGAAGTGGTTGATGAACCAATAGAAGATTCCACCTCCCTCCCCTGTACACCTTGCTCCCTTCTTCCCCATCTTTAATTATGATTTGTATTTTTGCACTGTTATTAGAAATATCTATCTTTCATATTGTAAATATTGTAAATTGCCCAAAGTTACCTAAGGTAAGATAGGTGACAAACAAACAAAGTCTGATTTCTACATGAAAGATTGAATCACTTTGCCTTGAATTGAAATGTTGAAGTGAACCAATCTGATTTTACCAGTTTTTTCAATCCCGTGGAAAGGAACTATTAAGTATATTTCAGAATCTCACTTTAGCATGTGGATTGAAGCAGAGCAATTGCTCCAGTCAGATGCTTCAAAGTTTGATGCTCTGCTTTGGAAATATGTTTTAATTGAAATTTTGATTAATTTGAAATACTCTTTTGCACAGCTTTAATGACTACCAAAACATTTGAAAGTTTTGTTCCTGATATTTGTAAGACTGTGTGATATATGTTTTGGAGAAGAAGCAAGTTCATGTTTATTCTATTGTGCTACAATGATAATAATTGACTAAGAAAGAGAAAAAGAGTGGTCCTGTCCCCAAAAGCTCTTGAATAATTTTAGATATTGTTGAAATTAAGAGGCAAAATGGTAGAAGATAAATATACATTTGTCTTTTATATTTACAGATCTTCATTTGAAGCTTCATTTAAGTTATATATGTATAAAATAGTTTCCTAGTCAGTGCCTATAAAAGAAAAAAAGCAGTTTCAAAACCTCTATTTAGAGTTATTTAGCCAAACCTTTATTTTCTGATCTTGAGTCAGAATATTTCTTCAAACTATATCTGTTCTTAAACATTACATTGACTTTTAGTTTGTTCATTGGTTATTTGATCCCAGTTCTGCTCCTAATCCAAACATGCTAACCATACCTGATTTAGCCTTAATAGGAAATAACATACTTTTGAGTCTTGGTAATGATTATTGTTAGAAGAGAAACTAACAGGGATGCTTAAAATAGTTATTGATGGGGACACAACTGAAAAATAAATTAGTAGCCATTTTGAATTATATTTACACATTGTCTGTTTATGAATATTACTTCAGGCTTGAATCTCCATTATTATGTATCTAAAAAGCCAAGAATGATTTCAAATATGACATTACAGATGCTAGAATATAAAATTTGCTTCAGCTGAAGAACCTTAAGTGAAAAGTAACTTTTGTGGAATATGTATATGAACAACTCTCAAAAATCTAATTTTGTTCATCATCAAATACGGTGCTATACAAAATTATTTTAATTGCTATAATTAATGCAATTATCAGCCCTTCCTTTAAAAATATAACCTTGATTCTTCAAATCAGTGCAGGCCAAATTTGGTTTATTTATGCAAAGCTATTTGAAACCATTATAGTATTTAAATTACAAAAAATAAAAGCCAGTTTTATTTACAATTTTCTCCAAGTTTTCACCACATGCAAATTGGCTCCTTTAACATATGGATAAGATACAGGGCTATTGTGTTGGAATCAACACTTGTAAGATTATCCCACAAGAACTGACATGCCCTGTTTATGTATATCTCTTTATTTATATGCGGAAATACTGCTTGAAGTGACAGGCTAGATAAGTCCTGAGCAATTGTATCAAAGAGTAGGAGTAGGGCACTGATGAGACAGATATAGTGGGTGGCTTGCTTTTCAGTGTTGTGAAT